AGATAGTATGTAATCTGGGAGACTAAACGGAGATAGTATGTAATCTAGGAGACTAAACGGAGATAGTGTGTAATCTGGGTGACTAAATGGAGATAGTATGTAATCTGGGTGACTATATGGAGATAGTATGTAATCTGGGTGACTATATGGAGATAGTATGTAATCTGGGTGACTATATGGAGATAGTATGTAATCTGGGTGACTATATGGAGATAGTATGTAATCTGGGAGACTAAATGGAGATAGTATGTAATCTGGGTGACTATATGGAGATAGTATGTAATCTAGGAGACTAAAATGGAGATAATATGTAATCTGGGTGACTAAACGGAGATAGTATGTAGCCTGGAAAACTAAAGAGAGATAATTTGTGGTCAAGTAGTTAACGCTTTTTTGTGAAATGAAATGTTTAACATAATACTTTTCTATACTTGACAGGGCTAATGTAGATGAAATTTATCTTGAATCCTTTACTTTGTCCTTTGATTCGGGTGCATGCTAATTCCTTCGTTGTCAGTCTGGAAGAAGGTAAACAGGACCGTAATAATGGATCCATCCTTGAAATGCATGAACCTACTTGAGTGAATAGTTGTGATTTATAATTAATTTCTAATTATGATAAAGAACATGGCAAAATCTGTTTCCCTTCCACATTAATTTAAAGGCTGAATTTAAGTTACTTTTTTTCAGAATTATAAAAGAGTACATGTTAAAGAATTGGTGATACACAAAAGCTCTGCTTTGAGAGATGTTGTGGTTTTTATGGGTTTATTAACAGTAATTGTAGTAATAGCAGCTGTTTTTACTGCCGTATATTTTGGTTTTGATTGGTAATTGTCTCTTTTGTAAAGCAAATGTAAATAAATTTATTTTTATAGTTATTGTTATATTGATTGTGAAAAGTTTTGACTGTCTTTGGATCAATTACATCTGACTTGCTCCCATTGATCAGGGTCAAGTCTCAAGAGAATAACCTACCATAGTACATAGAGAAGGGAAGTATTTGAATACATTTACATAGAAAGTATCGGGACTATTGAGGGAGCAAACAATGGATTTCCCTCCTGAAAAATTCAGACAACCGATCAATCCCATTACTGCAACTAAACACCATTGCCCTACCCCACATATTACTTGCCCCTCCGAACAATCAAATCTGGTTACGGGCCTGATGTGTATAAGTGAATATTATCACGAACTGAATCATGGTAGGTAAAGTTAATGGCATATAAAGGGACATAATTCATATTTTTCTTTGTGAAAACAGACCACAAAATGTCAATTATGAATCTCAGAGCCGTATATAGAGAGAGTCTGGCCAACTTGTGATCTCGCCGCGCTGAACCATGATTGGCGCAGAGCGGTCACGTGATTGAAGGCCGCCATATTGTTACCCTTCCCGCGACGTTTAGGCGTAGGAGCCTGTGTATTCTTTACGTTGTTTAAGCCTAATTCCTGGTCTTGTCTGGCAACAGAATGCTTCGATGTGTGGCATAGAAATGCTCTGTCAAATCTGGAGAAGGTATAGTGATGCACAGGTTCCCTAAGGATAAAAGGAGACGCAGAGAATGGGAAGTAAAGGTCAAACGATCCGACTGGACTCCCCACGACAACTCTTTTCTATGCGATGTAAGCACATTCGATGATTTCAGGGGTTTTGCAAATCGTGTTATGTTCAGGTCTAAAAACTGGATAAAATAGATATGAAAACTTTGTGAGAGGGTTTCTTTCCACGCACTGGCTATCTAAACCTAGGCCTAGACGAGGAGCAT